AAGGAAGGTTTATATGCAGCCATGAGATGGCTGTTTACAATTTCATCAGACTTGAGCTTGAGACGCCTGTGTATACTAGCTTACCTCTTTGTGTCATATTAAAATTGATCCACTACAACTGGAGGTTTGAAATTGATCCATTGCAACTCGATTTAAGATAATCAAAATATCTATGGGTAGTTCATGATAAGTAACTGCATGTAATTCCTCTCTTTTATGCCCTGTGGTTTAGTTTTTAGGAACAAATAGGGAAGTTTATCTATTTTATTGGCGATTAAATGTCAGGCGATCACTACGATTTGTGTTAAATGGATGTTCCAGAGGTACGTGCAGAACGGTCAGAAATTCTCAGTGGGGTGATGATTTTTGGGGCATAAAGAGAAAGTTTTATGGTTAACTTTTCTCACACGACCAACGGTTAAAATTTGACAATTTTTACGCCTGACGTCTAAATGTTTTTTCTGAATTTTCAAGGAATGTTGTCCAGTTTCAAGAGACCCACACAACATTTCCAAGTTCCATGAGGTTGAAAAAAAAATTGAATTTAAATATGAACAAGAGTGGGAAAGACCGACAGAATGTCAAAATTGTCTCTTTCATGCCATCCCGGATTGCTTACTGAGAGTCAGAATCGTTTGAAGGTTCACTCTGATAAGAATGACTTTTGCTTACTGAGTCGTCTTCACAAAGTTCCTTTTTAGCTATGTGATCATGCGGTCATGTGGTCACGTTATCCTAACATTATTCCATGACTTTTTCCCGCCAGTTTGGCAACCTTCCTTTGGCAACCATTCCTACAATCATCACGCCGGAAACGATACACGACCACTTTTTTGAATAGCTTTGTATTGACCATTAAAACATTCTAACTTTGTCACGTTCACCTGACATTGAAGAAATCTATTTTTCCCTACCTTTTCCTGATCTTCGATGGACTGGCGCCATATTTCAACCCCCCAATTTGATTGTCTGCACACTTCTAACCTTTGTCTTCTAAACGTTTATAGCTTGTTATTCTTAAGTCTTTGTTTGGATCTCTTTTGATCCTGACAATCCAGATCTTGAAAACTGATAAACAACCACGGATAACATTATAAAAAACCCAGAAGGGAGGATTATTTTCTTACATTTATTAATGCAGATTTTAAATACAAATTCGTCCGATTAATTATAAGTTGAAGAAATAAATAAATAAGAATATAGGACATTTTATGAAAAGACTAATTATTACCGTTACTAAAAGCAGGAATGGGGAATGGAGAACGGGAAATGCTGAATGGAAAACGAGGATTAAGAAATGAGGAATAGGAAATAAAGAATAGAAATGGGGAATAGGAAAATGTAATGGAAAATTGAAAATGGGAGAACAATTTTTTTTTAGATTTATCGCTTATTATGCCGTTTTTTATCTTTTTTCAGCGGTGATAATCAATATCCATGCTTTTATATTTTTCAAAATCATTCGATTTGAAAAACTTTTCAATTTTTGTAACTTGCAAAATCTTTGAAGGACCCGATGTCCTGCCTCCGAGGCTTCCATATTTTGGCTACACAAAAGTTCATGTTTTCTTCAACTACAAGCTGCCATGATATGCAAGGTATGCCAGGATAAAATTTCATCAGGAAAAAATATTTTAGTCCGCTAGTCTAGTTTGACGTGCGATGGCAGGATTTTCCTCGTCCATCTTAGCCTTTTTCTTTGGAGTGAGACGAAATTTGATCGCCGCTGTCAAAGTGTTTTGGGTATCCCCGAGTTTTAGGCATCTCCCTTCGCAAAACACTATTGTTTTCGATTTTTTTAACTTCTCTTTAGAGCGAAATGGGTTTGTAATTGACGTTAGATTCAATTAATGAAGTTTGATGCGACCGCCGCCAAAATTTTTTTCTTCACAGCTCCAAATGGCTCCGTCAATCTCTAGAGAGAAGTTGGTATCACTAACCGAGAACAAGACAGTCAGGATCTTGCCCATCATTCGTTCATTCGAACGTAAGGACCAATTAGCATGCCAAAACATTTTTAAAGATGGATATCAAGAGTTTATAAAAAGTATCACAGTAATATATTTATCGTTTCTGGTAAGGTATATTGTCATGGCTGCCATGTTTGCCATACTTGCAGCAGTGATTTGGTCGGCATGGATCTTTGTTGTGGTTGTGGTGATGGCATGCATGGTTTTGGCATTCATCTACATACATTTACAGTTGACAGGCTGGTTCTATATTAATCATACACTGAATTCAGGTGATTTAAAGGACATCGAAGAGTCTTACATGTCGATTCAACAGTCGCACTTGTGGGTAGCAGAGTTGAATGGAAGAGTTGTTGGGATGGTGGGCCTCATTCACGAGGAAAACTTCGAACAAGGCGTCTATGAACTCAAGCGCATGTACGTTGTGCCGAGTTGTAGAGGAATGGGGATCGCTAAAAACCTGATTAATGAACTTATCTCACATACCAAGACAAATAGAATAAAATTGGTTTTCTTAAAAACAACGTCTACACTGGTGCCAGCGATTCAACTGTACATGAAGAATGGTTTCACATTTTCCAGCGCTGATCTAAATGGCAAGTTAACCGATGTGCCTGTCATCAGCAAACGGAATTTACCACAAGACATACACCTCAAGTTAGAAATTTCCTCATTAGCTGCACCTTAAAATATTCCTTCAAGTATGACATGTCTTCGCACCTTTCCAATTTAGGTGAACATTTCGTAATTTCATCCGCAAGCTTTGAGGCAGCTCCTTTCCTTTCGTAACTGTTATGGTAGAAAGTGCACGTTTTATGAGCCATAATTCGGCTGGATCCCTTTAAACAAGAAGCTTTTTAATCACTTATTTTAAAATAATCTAGATTAATGAAAAATATAGGAAAGATTGTTGCAAAGCATAACAAATATGCAGCCTAAGATGTTGTGGCGCTTATGGTGGGGTACCTGTTCGTTGAAAATGAAAATATGGCCGTGGCTACGTGGGTACTGGCCGAAAGCGAATTACTCTTTTTCATTCAAAAGCCGCTCGCTCTAGATTAATCCTGATTGCTTAACTCTTATGGCAAAAGCCAGGGTGTAAGTGTGTTTTAAGGCACGAAAGATGATAATCAGCTTTTAAGTCGCTGCAATAAACTTTTTAACGTTTTTTGTTAATTGTCACAGGAAGAAATTAACCGTTAGCCGTAAAATGGCCATAATTTTAACCGTTGGGTGTAAAATCCATCACTCCATTGAGAATCTCTTAATTTAGCTTTAATCAATAAAAAGCAAGTTGGAAACATTAATCTATAAAAGCATGCAGCACCAATTGTGAAACGCAGTTTTGTACACTCAAAGGCAAAGGGTAACTAGCAAACATTGTACTGAGATACATATCCAGTTGGGACATTATGCAGATTTTGGGTATTCACACTTCAACAGTGTACGAGTCGTGTCCAACAAAATTCACCAATACAGTATTACGTGAGGTACACAACTAAAGCTTTGTTTTAAATTCCTCATCATCTCATTCAAGGTCAGTGTTAGTAACACCATACTGCTTTTCCAAACAGGTATTAGGGAGATCCTTTGTAACCACGTACACAAAATCAAAACCCTTTTTTCTTTGAAGTTCTTCTCCAAGTTCCATGCCCTGCTTTGTTGAGGCATCCATGCGAACCAATAGAGCAGCTTTCTCTCGATGAAGAAGCTTCTCGAACAATGCCTTCAGTAGCTTCTCTACGATGGCTTTAGAATCCGTAAGCAGAGGTCCTATTACGTAACCTTTCTCTTTGAAAAAAGTCGGTCGGGAAGAAATTTCCGCACCGCATAAAAGTGACTTCGGAATCCGCCTCTTTTGTACATTTTCTTAAGGTGAAGCAAAGCATATAATCCGGTGTTGCTGGTTGGCTTCACACTTGACACGGCGGCATCGAAGATCTTCAAACCGTATCCCTTTCCTATATATTCCTTGTCCACCAGATAA